AATTGTGATACCTTGACAAACTTTGACTCTTTAAAAAAAATTATCCAAACTTTGACGTTTTGAAAAATCGAAAACGTGGACACTTTCAAAAACATTATCGAAAATTTTGATACAATTTGGTGAAAACTTTGCCACTTTAAAAAACTTCATCAAAAACTTTGACACAAAACTTTATCTAAATCTTTAACACTTTGAAAAACTTCATTGAAAACTTCGACACTTTGAAAAACCTTATCGAAAACTTTGATACTTTAAAAAACTTTATCAAAAACTTTGATACTTTAAAAATCTTTATCGAAAACTTTGATACTTTGACAAACTTTGACACTTTGAAAAAGTTTATCGAAAACTTGGACACTTTCAAAAACTTTATCGAAAACTTGGACACTTTGTAAAACTTTATCTAAATCTTGAACACTTGAAAAGCTTTAACGAAAACTTTGACACTTTAAAAAACTTTATCGAAAACTTGGACACTTTGAAAAACTTTGGAGAAAACTTTGACACTTTGAAAAACTTTAACGAAACCCTTGACACTTTGAAAAACTTTGGCGAAAACTTGGACACTTTGAAAAACTTTAGCGAAAACTTTGACACTTGTAGAAACTTTTGATACTTTGGCGAAAACTTGGACACTTTGAAAAACTTTAGCGAAAACTTTGACACTTTGAAAAACTTTGACGAAAACTTTGATAAAACTTTGGCGAAAACTTTGACACTTTGAAAAACAATGGCGAAAACTTTGACACTTTGAAAAACAATGGCGAAAACTTTGACGCTTTGATTTACTATAGTTAATGTAACTATAGTAAACTATAGTTAACTATAGTAACTTTTTTTTTCTGTTAGGGATGACCCTGGGGCCATGAAGTTCACAATTTTGCAAGAGGCAGCCTTATTCAACATAGCTATGTACTTGGCTAGTTTATTAAATGCCCAGAAGCAATGAAGAGGATTTTCAAATAATTCATGCAATTTCGCTATATAATCTATTTAGCCCCGTCCTAGCACTAGAACACCTGTTCCAGGGGCCATGAATTTCACAATTCTGGTAGGGGATCCAATGCTGATTACAATCATGCCAACAGTTTGACTGCTTGATGTCCAGGAGTAAAGAAGAAGGTTTTTAAATATTGCATTAATTCTAGTGGTTTTGGCCCCACCCTTCAGGCCTCAGGGGTGCAGAGACCACGAAATTCACAACTTTTGTTCCTCTTTACCCATAAATGCTATATGCCAACATTGCTTGAAATTAGTGGCGGATCCGGAAGGGGGTACGGGGGTTGCATCCCCCCATATGAATTTGCAAGAAAGAGAGAGAGAAAAAGATTTTAGTGGTTTTGGCCCCACCCCTAAGGCCGCCATAAGGAGTAACTGTTGTTGTTTGAAATTTCTTTTCAAAAGCTTAAAGGCTTATCGAAATATTGGGCAGAAACAAGGTTTTAAATCAAACAGAATTTTGAATTTGTTACCTTGTCCTTTTGACCTCAAAATGAGTAGAAGTCGTTCATGGGCCAAAGTGAGTTGTGTAAATTTCACTGCAAAATCTCAAAGGCTTCGATCTAGAGATATTGCAGGGAAATAAAAGTGTTGCAGACAGACAGAACTACAGACAGGCAGACGAAATGACAGACGTATTGAAATTAATATCCTCCACTTTCAGCGGCGGACAACAAACGAGCAAGCTCAGTCAGTTGTGTCTCTTCCCGAAGTATCCGTTGTTTGCATTAACAAATCATTTCGCTAATTTGCATCGGGATCGAAATTATTTAATGAAAACGAAAGTAAAACCTGTAAAAATTGATTAACTTAAAAACTGTAATAAACAATGTTTATGCTGTAGATTTTAATACGTTAGTAAAATACCTTCAATATACTTTGCAAAAGACCTTCAACTGACGCGTCAAACACTACGTGAAATAAGTTCATACATCTGTAGGCTTCGCTGCGTAGATCCGATGAGAACCAGTCAAATTTCTGCGAGTCAGGTTAAAAAAAATGTTTGGAACTATTTACGAAGCTTCTATAAATAAATAAGCACATATATGGCCTTCTTGTTTGAGTTGAATTTAAATTTACAGATTACCGTGGTGTTAAATAGGAATTTCTTGTTTTCATCTATACTGATTTTACTTCAATGAAATTAGCAGGAATGATTTGCTGCAGAACTACCTCCCAGAATTCCAAAACACACAAGCGCATTTGAAGTTCTTCGTATCATAACTAGTCAGCCCGCGGGCTGACTAAAAATGTTCAAATGTCAGTGCACGACGACGGACGAAAACGGATAGCAATAGGTCACCTGAGTACACTTATGTGACATAAAAATTTAGTAAAATCTTATCTTGTGATTTCAAACAAATCGTTCAAATGTTGTTAGATGTATTGCTACTAACATTATGTTTGAACGACTTCTTGAGCAATACCTGGCGATCTAATACATCTTTTAAGAGTCCTTCCGATGCGAGGGCCTTGAATTATCAGACGAGGTCTGGAAAATTATGGAGGACTAAGTTCCTGTGTTAAAACCGCTGCAAGTCAATACTACAATAAGTACTGAACAAGCTACCCTATATTGAGCATGATCTGTCCGATTGTAATTGGTCTCCTGAACAATCAACTGAATGTACGAGGGGAAGGCACCACTGTCCTACTCAAATTCAAAGGAGTTATTAAAGAACTGTCGTCTCGATTTCCACTAACCGATCATGAATCAGCAACGCATCAAACTGTTCTTATCTGTGCCCTTGACCCACGGTACAAGACATAAATTCATGACAGACAAACAGAGAAAACTCGTCAAAGCTAGTACTGAAAAGTTCGACACCACGGTAGAGCAGGAGACACCGGTGGTTGCGGTCAAAACCAAAGATTCTGACGCACCTGAAACGAGCAAGGCTGAGGTCAGTGCCACGAGTTTTCTTTTCGGTGACCTCGTTGACCTATCTGGGAATGTATTAAAAACGGAAAAAAACTAGAATTGAAGAGTATGAAAGAAACAGCAGCAAAAAGAAAATTCCGACCCCTTCGATTGATAGAAAAGAAATGAAGGTATCTACAAAAAGCTTGCACCTTTGGTACCTTGGCATATCTGTTCCCTCAGAACGCGTGTTGTGTGACATGGAGAACATCGTAACAAAATGCGGGCAGTTTAGATCCAGACACCGTGAACCAGTTGGTTTTCTTTAGTTTAATTAATGCTGATAATGGAAGAAAAGTTTTATCTTACTAATTTTACACTTGAAAAACAGAAAAAAGGTAGTCCATTCACATCTTAATGAAATACAATCCATCTTAAATACACCTACACCAAAAATGAAAATGTTCAATCATGTACCATTCGTGTTTAAATAAGAAAACAACAGAAATAGAATAATCATAGTTTCAAGTAAAATATCACCCCATCATGATCTTCATATTCACATGCAGCAAAAGACTACAAATGCACCTTGGTACTACAAAAGGAGATTTCTAAACAATCAATCACTCCCAGAAGTCTGACACGAAAGAAAGTATCTCTTACATTCTTTTATATCAAAATGAAAATTTGTTATACTGCCTGAAATAAAACTTTTCTAAGACAGCATTCCTGAAATGTAATTGAAAAAAGTGCTCAAGTTTTTCTAACAGCATCATCCCTCTCAATTTGAAAGATCTTAATATCTCTGAAGGTATGAGACCGTATAAACCGAGGCCCCGTGTCACAGCAGGTGTAGCACGATAAAGATACCTTCCTGCTCAAAGGCCGTAAGTGCCGAGCATAGACCTAAATTTGCAGCACTTCACCGGCAATGGTGACGTCTCCATATCAGTGAAATATTCTGGAGAGGGACGTTAAACAGTATACAATCAATCAATCAATCTCTGAAGGTATTAACCACAAAATCACAAGATTTTTTTTTAATAATCATGGGTAGGGTCTACTGTAGTTCGGCCATCAACAACTTTCAGATGTTGGAGTTGTAATGAACTGATATTTTGATGAAAAAGAAGACAACTTCTACAAGTTTATCTTGTTCTGTGACAATAGCATTGGACTGGATGCAAAAAAAGGACATGTTTTACTAATAAAAGTTCCACAACATTTGGTAACATCTTCAGTTAATTCAGAATGTTTCTGAAGGGCCACATTTTCATATTTTTGTCAATGAACAATTGGGGCTGCCTTAATCTGGTGAACAAAAGTGAAAGATTTGGCTAACTTATTCTTATCTGTCATATCTGTACATTTGCAAATGCTACCAAATTTTGATTAGCGCATTCGTTTACATCTTTCTGAGAGCCAAAGTTTGTTTTTAGATTGACCAAGTGTTTGGTGTTCTAAAAGACAAATTTCTTCACTGCTTATATTTGTAATGTCAGAGATTTTGAGTTTAAGTACGGCTCCGTGTAAAAATCATGCAGGCAGTACAGAAAAGGTGATTCATCGACCATCTTCAAATTCAATAAAATTGGGTTTAATATATTCATTTGGGTCTAAATTGAATATAAACAGTTGATTTTGTTATAATTCTTCTTTTTTCATGTAGCCAGGGATAAAGTACTTGAGGTGTAATTTTGTATAGATAGTGTGCAAATAATGCCTATTTCAGAAAAGAATATCTTTAAAACCCTAGAAGAAGTACAAAAACTTAATACATAATTCAAGTGAACATGGAAGGCTTAATAAAAATTTACTTTAATATTTTTGTGCAAACGAAGTATTGAAAAGATACAAGGTGTTTAAAATCGAGAATTTGTCAAGATTCTTCAAATGAGTTATCTCCCTTTGCAATTTTACATAGGTGGCGCTAGTAAAAATAAATGGCAGCCTCCATGGTTAGCTGTACGCTGCAAAGTTATTTTGATGCATCCTGTGATGTTTATTGCAAAAATATGTGTGAAGTGACATAAATTGGTTGAAAGGATTCTACAAGAACAGATTAGGCATAGTTTTCGGGCAAAAGTATAGCCATGTGTCATGTTGATTACTAGTAGGGCCTATATTGACCTTGTTGACATGGTTGACGTTCTCCCGAAATGGTACTCTCCTACTGACGGGCCTACTGACACCGTTGTGATCTATCTCAGAAGTTTAAATTCTACGGTAATCCACCAGAGTCCAAGAGTAAACTCTCAGAGAGGGGTGGCAGTCCGATTTTGTCAGCTTACTCGACTTGGAGAGGGAAGATAATGTACATTTTACATTTGACCAGGTAAGATCAGGTCCAGAACACTGCAGAACAATTTCTTGATTAAGATAATTAATTTTGTAGCTTGAAATAGCTATGTAGCTTTAATATGTTGACAGTGCGACCGTTAGGGAGAGCGCATATACTTATCCATTTTCATTTAGATTGGACATGTAAATCCGCACGTGACATTCGGTGCATATTAGATTCTGACGTCATATGACGTCGTTTGTACGTTGCTTTACCAAACCGAAGCCTGAACAAGGCTGATTTCAATCAGTTTATGAATATCTTTCTGCAATAAACAGATAAAATCATTAAATCAAGACAAGTTTATTATTCGTTTAACTTTTGTTGTTATTCTCGCGAGAATGTTGCTTTAGAGTTTGTGTATGAAGCGATGCATTGTGGGTCTAAATTACTGCGGTAAAAAATTCTTAGGAATGAATGTGCAGTTGTCTGAATTTTCTCTTTGCCCAGGCATTTTCATCAGAGCTCGCAGTTACGTGCATCGCTTTGCGACCCTTGCTGCACTCGCTATTAATCTATTCAAAATAGCTTGGTAAAGCTTTTTATATGCAATCAAAAGTATTTTACAAGTCCTATATGACAATGTATTATGAGTCTTTAATAAAAAGGAAAAATCATAGATACTTGTAGTATTGCAGCTGTTGAATACTTTTAATTAAGCAAAAGTCGAATTTCCATTTTCTTAAGAGCTCGGGTACACTACCGTTAATGGAAGGTAATTTTTAGCACAATGTTTTTGTCTCTACTCTAGCATTCTACAACTAATTGAATGAGTCCCCAAGCATGACAGTCTACTATTTGTTAATACAAATCAGAAGCGACACACGGTTTTCGTCGATTTACTGCATACTAAAAACTTTATTCACTTCATCACCAAAAACAATAGAGTTTCTTTTTTACTTTATACAGCCAAAATTGAAAGATTAGTTTCCAAAGACACTGCTCGATGCTCACATTTAAAAATTGTAGTTTTAAATGATAAATACAGTGAACCTTCAGATATCTGGATGCAATATATCCGAATGCTTCAGTATTCGGATGATTTTTCATCGGAACGAAAATTTTTAACATTATTTTGTCTTATTTAACTGGTAATTCAGGTATCCGGACACTTCACATATCTGGAAATTTAACTAGGAACCAAAGCATCCGGATAAATGAGGTACCACTGTAGTTGCTTCCAATACGTACCGTACAAACATTGTGACGTTTGTATGTCTTACTTTTGATATTTGATTGAGGGGTTAAATGATAATTGTGCACCTTGTGCTGCTGTCTAAAACAAGATGTGTTTGTGAAACACTGATGCCCCCATACGGCAACATAGCGACGGTTAAGCTTTCTCAAATGCAGATCAAATATGTTGGTACCAAAGTAAGGCCTTTTCACACGAAATGCGATATGTAAACACAAGGTTATGACCAAGGTTAACATTTTATAAGATAGGACAAACTCCGGGTCAAGGTCAAAGGGTCAAGGTTGTTGTGTTCTAAAGAAAGGCCTTGTCTCAAAGATTACATATGGGAAGTATGAAAGCAATGGCCCTTACCGTTCAAAAGTTATGGCCAAGGTTAAAGTTTTTTCATAGGTACAGAAATCTGCAAGGTCAAGGTCAAAGGGTCAAGGTTGTTGGTATCCAATGAAAGGACTTTCAACAAAGATTACATATGTGAAGTATAAATGTCTTGGTATCTACTGTTCAAAAGATATGGCCAAAGTAAAAGTTTAAAATTTTCATGTAAAAGTGGGTCAAACTCCAAGGTCACGGTCAAAAGGTCAAATTTGGTAAAACCCAAAGAAGGGTCTTGTCACAAGGAATACACATGTGAAATATGAAAGTCATAGCTACACTAAATCAAAAGTTATGGGCAAGGTTAAAGTAAAGGACAAACAGACAAACAGAGAGACAGACAGACAGACAGACGGACACGACAAAAACTATATACCCCCGAAACTTCGTTTACGGGGGCATAACTATTGTAAAGAAAACTGATAGCCAATTTACATGCAAATTTAAGCTGATGTGTCATCAGATAATCTTGTCGTCTAGACCTGTTTAAGTTACTGTGCACTCCCCTATGTGCGATGAGGCATGAATAAGTATGATGGTATGGTTAAGGCAGTGTTTGAAATAACTTGCTCAACCGCCTGAGATGCACAAATTTTGTCACAGGCAAACAGATTTGTAACAGATTACAGATTTGACACCCGACTGAAAATGAAAAACTTTTCAAAAACTTGACCTTGGTCATGACTTTTGAATGAAAAATAAAGGGCTTTTCTCATTGTGATCCAAAGCCAAGGCGCACATGGATCTTAAAAAATAGATAGAAAACTTGTAATGGTTTAAGTAACAATCTTTTAAAATCTTCTCAAGAACATGAAGATGATGATATGGAAGCATTCTCTGGTGATGTAGTGTAAAGTTAAACCCCCTTTGGGTAGGATGGGGCCACAATGGGGATCATAGTTTCACATTGCAATATATAGGGGAGAATCTTCCCTAGAACAGCAAAGCCATGATTAATATTGTACTGATATGGAAGTCATTGGAAGAAGCCTCAAGTAGTGTAGATTTTGTTTAAATTCGATAAATTGTACTAAAGTTAAAACTGGAGACATATTGCAAATGATGAAAAATACACTAGTAGAAAAGATATTTCACATACAGCAAAACTCGTTTACTACGAACACAGATATAGCAAATTCATGGATATAGCTAAGTTATTCTAGATCCCCAGCTATATAAATTTAACAAATTCCTTATATGGATATAACGAGTAATTGATATAGCAAAGTAATTTCATAGGTCCCGGTGACTTTGTTATAACTTTGTTTTACTGTATTTCATAAATTAGTATTATTGTTTTTTAGATGAATTAAACTCCATTTTATTTTCACAGAATGTATGCGATGGGCTGCATCATGGTTTTGAAGGAAAAGGTTACACTATTTATTACAGACAGCAAGAAAACATCATTGAACACCACCAACTAATAAGACTCCAAAGGTGGGAGAATATCTGTCATGCAACTATTTTAGATTTTTAATGAAATTACTGCGTTATATAAACTTGATATTCCATTTAAAGTAATTTATAAAATCAAAACAACCATTTAGTACCTTAATAATAATGTAGCATAAACTAAAGAATTCTAAATTGATGAATGATAAGTTCTTGTACATGTATATTGTAATTATTATTTTAGGAATAATGGAAAATAAGATATTTAAAGCTGTCAAAAAGCAGAGTTTAGAGTTCAGTGGATTCCATGACAGTACTTTGGATAATGTTAATCAGGCAGCAATTCTTTTTCCAAAGGATCTTAAGTGCTTTTAGAAGAGGCTCATAAACAAAGGACAGTCACTTACTACAGAAGAGAAGCAGGGGAGATTAATGATATTCTGAGTGGCATGACTGCACCTTACAAAGATGTAAAACTTTAAAAATTGTGTTTACATATACAACGATTATATGATAAATGTATCTAGTAATCAATATTAATATGATTAATATTTTCAAATGTTTTTTACATTTTACTGTTCATTAATGAAAAAAAATAATTTGTGTTGTATTTGAATTTGGAAATGTAAAGGAATTTATTTTCAAATGTAAACTGATATTCTTACTCACTGGCGTATGTACATGGTGTATTTATTGGACTCTGACAAAAGATGATGCTACTTCTTTTTTGGTGAAATTATTAATCACAATGATTTTTGTGCACATGATTTTTTTTAAATTTTCTATAGGGTATGGTATCTATGAAAACTACTCAGCCTTTTTGTTTGGCTATTTTTTAAATCATAGATATATTTTATTTTCTTGATAACTGAAATCCTCAAAAAATGATATTTGGTTTTTTGTCAACATGAATTATCTCCCCCTTTAAGCTTGAAATTAGAAATAATACTGTAGATATAGATATAATTTGATTATGTGAAAATAAATAATTGTGTTGTATTTGGATTTGGAACTATAAAGAAATTATTTTGAAATGCTATTTATAATTTTACATGCATATTAAATATAGACTTGACATTTATTTGACCGTGATGAAAAAGTGAATTTCCCATTTTTTGTATAAAACTCTTCAATGGCTTTTGGAAATTAATAATCAATTGCACAAAAATGTTTTTAATATTTTATTTTCCATAAGGTATGGTGTCTAGGAAATAAACACTGCCTTTCTGTTTGGCTGTAGTGTATTTTTTTCTTTAAATTTTTTATCATATAGCTGAATTTAGCTGTAAATCCTTTTAAAATTGAAAATTTCAGTTTTTCTCGACATGGATTATCTCCCCTTTTCAGCTTATAATTAAAAACTATTACTGGAAGTGGTAATAATTGGATTAATTATGAAAAGTAAATGATTTAATTGTATTTGAAAATGGGAATATAAAAAAATGGTTTTGAAATGCTATTTATTTTTTACATGCAAACATATATGGCATATATTGGACTGTGACAAAAAAAGAGAAATTACCATTTTTGTACAAAGTTCATCAGTTGTTTTGGGAAATTAATAATCATTTGCACAAAAATGTTTTAACAATTTTATTGACTTTAGACTATAGTCTCTATGAAACTAGCATGGCTTTTTAGTTTGGCTGTGGGGTTTTTAGAAATTTTTGATAGATAAAAATCCTAAAAAATGGATATTTCACATTTTTTGCCAATATGGATTATCTCCCCTTTTTAGCTTAAATGTATAGTAACTACTTATGCTGTATATTAATAAGAAATAAACATAAATTTGTTTTATTGTTTAGTTTTCTTTTCATTTAATCTTCATTAATAGTATTTTTGCCTGTTTTTAGAGGAAATTTCAGCCACTTTTTGCCCAAAAACAGTTTATCGGTTGCCATGGATACCAATGGCAGAATTAAAAAAAAATTATAATTTTTTTTGGAGTATCTTAGCATACTCTACCAACATGCAAAGTGTGAAGAAATTCTGAAACCCCCCATGAATCACCCTCTGCATGATTTTTACACGGAGCCGTACTTAAATAGACATGGTCAGCAACTGCATATGTATTTGCAGGAGAAAACAGCTGGGAAATAGGAAGACGATTGACAGTGGCATAATTAATACAATGTTTTCCATAATAATCATTGTACCCTGTTCTTTTCCTAAATTTAGCTAGTCTGGGGTCAAAGTTAAGAGTATTGATGTCTTTTCTAGCAAGTGGCAAATCTTGAGCTTTGATGGGGCTACCAGAAAATGGTTTATATTTGTGAAAGGTTTGGATTTTCTGGGTACAGGTTTCTTCAATTAAAAGTTCTTTAGAAGAAGAAAACTTACATATTGCCAACAATAAAGCACTTACATGCTTCCAATGAGAGTTAGGCCTCATGCCTGCGGCACATACACATTGTGTTTCAAGAACACAACCACCTTGATCAATACAAATATCAAATTTGTATGTCACAGACTTTTTCATTTGGGCATGACGCTCACTCTTTAGGTCACCTGGGTCACTCAGGTGACCTATTGCTATCTGTTTTTGTCCGTCGTCGTGCGTCGTCCGTCGTGTGTTAACATTAATTTGAACATTTTCAGCTTCTCTAAAACCACTGAACCAATTTCAACGAAATTGAATATATAGCATCTATGGGTGAAGGGAAACAAAATTTTGAATTGCATGGCCCCTGCCCCCTCGGGGCCTGAGGGGTGGGGCCAAAACCACTATAATTAATGAAATCTTCAAAAATCTTCTTCTTTATTCCTGGACATCAAGCAGTCAAACTGTTGGCATGAATGTAATGAGCATTGAGTCCTCTACCAAAACTGTGAAATTCTTGGCCCCAGGGTCAGGGGTTCTAGTGCTAGCGCGGGGCTATAGAGATGATATAGTGAAAATGCATCATTTCTTTGAAAATCTTCTTTTCTGCTCCTGGTTATTAAATAAACTAACTAACTAATTAAGTACATAGTTATGATGAGCATTGAGTCCTCTACCTGACGTGATACATGACGTTACGACACTTGTGACGTTATTAAATAAAGAGCGCATTTACGTTTACGTTGTTACTCATGACGTAAATCGCACCTGTCTTATTTAAAATAACCTTCCGGAAAAGTAATTAAGCAATCATAATAGTTAAGGTTATTGTCATTAAAATGTATGAGCCCGAGCTCCACAACTATTTTTCTTTTGTTTTGTTTTTTTTTTGGCATTTTTTATTATGTAGAGAAAATAATGCGTTGTCAATAAATTCATTTCACATCTTCTTTTGAATTGTTTTATACACGTTATTTAAGAATACATACTTGCTACCGGCAGTCGAGGCATCCTTTATAGCAGAATGGCTATCAAAAAACTTTACCTTTATTTAAAATATTGTTGAGCAACGAAAAATAGAGATCGGGGCCTTCAACTGAACTAACGACGAAAACCCAAATTTGAAGGGATTATATAATTTTGCAAAATTGATAATTTTTGTTTAAAAGTACCAGTGTAAAAGTACATTATTCCACTCCTGTCAAAAAAACATTCCAATATAAACAAAGTTAAAAAGTTATAAACAGTTCCAATCAATTTTTTGTCTTAGTCGTAAGTTCTAGTGTAAAGGTATGAATTTTCATATGTTGATACCCCGGATATATTTGTCACATTGTGGTGACGGGGATTTACGGCAGATAATCCCGAATTTCGGTGGACATCACATATAATAATTATATGTAGGGAAAGGAAAAAAACGTTTGTTTTGCCACATTTGCAATACGTATTTAAAACTATATTTATTGCCCTGCATGGTTTCCCTGGATGGTGTATGGCGCTGTAAAATTAACAAGTACTTTTATATTTTACGCATGTTGCTTGAATTAAATATTCATCAAATTTAAAAGAAAAAACATATTTTCAACATCGTAGTTTTTTTTAATTTCTGTTCCAAAATCTTGAGGTAACAATTTCCGCAGGTCCAAACTATTCTTCCTTAGGACACCCATGCCTGTCCGAGCAGGCCAAATGAAGGACTCTAGCCCTCTCGCTCGGTCGGAACACACGGCGCAGTCCTTTTCTTTGTTACCTGTGGTATAAAAAGTGTGTTAAGAGTTAACAGTGATGTTAATTCACTTTTTACGATTAAATAATTCGTTCCCCTTAGAACAAGCTAAAATTTATCATATATCTTCCAAAACGGATTTAGTTCTTAAGTTAAAAGTCTGATTTAAATATTATTTATTTAGATTAAATGTTCATAAGTTTTATCTAATTAAAGGTCATCAAACCATACCATAGCGTATATGTGCGTAATAGATTTACTTGTTTTTGTTTATAGTATGGACAAATGAACGACAAGGATGCAAACTTAAAAATGTTACAGATCTACAGAGACCACAGCTATGTTTAAGGTGGCTTGGGGGGTGTCAACAAATTAACCATAAGATATAACTTTTTTGGTCATTTTTGTATATCTTTACATGTTTATCCTGCTCTTCTTCCAAAGGAGACCAAAAAAAGTCTAAAAATAGACATAACCAAACAAACTGCAGCAACAACAAATAAAATAAAAACAAGAGGCCCATGATCACCTGAGTATCATGTAACAACTTTCAAACAATTGTATTTGATTCGTGTTTTAAACCAAAGGCCATGGATTTCACAATTTGGAAGCAGGCACCATTGCTTAATTATCATAATTATACACATACATGTAGCATGCTTACTTTAGTTACTTAATACCCTGAGGTAGATCAAATCTAACAACGTGAAAATGCATTTCCACTTTATGCATATGTAACCAGAATATTTTAAAAGAATTTATACATTTTCACTATATACCGTATAAAGAGAAATTTTAGCGAGGAATTAATTTTGGCATTATTAGCGAGGCATTTGATATCGCAAAAATTGATGATCGCTAAAAATAAATCGCGTTTTATTTGTACTAACTTCTTTAGTGAGCATTTCAAACTCGCTAAAATTACTTCTCGCTAAAAATAAAATACCAGTTTTTAAGGAGAAATCACTAAATTTGCGTCTCGCTAAAATTTCCACGTATACGGTAATCAATAGAGCCCCACCCTAACACCAGAACCCCTGACCCTGGGGCCATGAATTCACATTTTGGAAGAGGCACTCTTGGTAATCATAACTATACTTGGTTTGTTTGTTCAATACCCAGGAGCAGAGAAGAAGACTTTCAAAGAAATAATTCATTTTCACTATATGATCTATATAGCCCCGCCCTAGCACTAGAACCTCTGACCCTGGGACAATGATTGATTGATTGATTGATTTTATATTGTTTAACGCCGAGTCGGCAATATTTCAGCCATATTTCGG